GCCATCACCGTGCAGAGCCTGGGTCCGCGGCAGCAGGTCACGCTGCGGACTTCCTTGCGGGACGAGACGGGCGAGCTTTTCCAGGCCTGCGCCCGCTACCAGGCGGGGGACGATGGGGAGCTGGACCTAGCCCATTGCCCCGCGCTGCCGGGGGGCAGCTTCTCTGGCCTGGAGCCCATGGGGCTGCTCTGGGCTTTGCAGCCCCAGAGGCCCTTCAGGCGGCTGGTGAAGCGAGACGTGCAGAGCCCCTTCCTCCTGCAGCTGGCGGTGTTGGAGGGCCACGGGGACCCCCCTGGGCGGCTCCTGGCCCAGGCGCAGCATGAGCGGGCGTTCCTGCGGGACGGGGTGCGGAGGGTCCCGGTGCGAGAGGGGAGGATCCGGGCGACGCTGTTCCTGCCCCCAGGTGAGTAGCGGCCATGCAGGGCTCCTTCCCCGCGGGTGCTGCCTCCGCTCTCGGCCCTGTGCTCCCAGGCCCGGAGCCAGACCCCCCTTGAGACCAGTACCGGCAGAGGACAAAGCAGAGCTGGACCTCGCTGCTGGCACTGGGAACACTTCAAGGACAGGCCTGATCAGCCCCACCAGCTTTGATCTGCTGGTCACGCTCCTCACGTAGCACAGCTACATGGGCTAAAACACATGAGAGTTTGTTTTATTGACTCATATTAGACATGAAGGCATTGAGCACAGTACCCTTTTTGTTTCAAATGCTGTAGGAGGTGGGGTCAGTCACCTTTCCTCTACTTGGCTGCTTCCAGGGAATTCAGCTAGTAATTTGAGCAAGTTGAAGGTTGCTCTTCAAAAGTTTAGAGTGTGAAGCCTTCCCCTTCCCCTCCGCTGATGCTGAACTTGGTAATGTCATAGTTGCTGCAGCCCAAGCTGCGTTTGGCTACCAAATTTGTCCCCAGTTCTTTCCCATTTGTGAGCAGAAGATTAAGAAGAGCGTTAGACAGGTTTGCTCTTAGAGTATTTTTGTCAGAAAATAATCATGGAGAGGATCTCTGAGGTTTTCAGATTGCCTGACTAATGCTGGGTTGTCCTCCCAGCAGCTGTCCAGACTTCTGCTAGTTGTCTGTAGAAGCCTCATCTCTTGCCTCTTCTTGGTTGAGTGGTAGCAGCCACACCACTACCACATCCCACCTTTCCTTCCTCCTGTGACCCAGAGGCTTTCAGGAAGCATGTCTCTGGAACCCCATGTACTCAAGGACCTCCTTTATGCAGTATGTGCCTTCCCATCTCCCCTTTCTCCCTTGTCTGTCCCTGGTAGCTCCTCCATGATAGTGCCAAAATCATACGTGCTGTCCCAGCCAGTGTCCCAGATTCTGATTGTGTTATAGCTGTGTGGTTGGAGGTGAACTTCCAGTTCTTGTTTGTTCCCCAAGTTCTGCATGCTAGTCTGCAGACACCTGAGGGAAGCCTCACCCTCCCTTCTGAGCAGGAATGGGAGTCTTTCTCTTGGCTTCCTCCTTTCCATACTTTGTTACCGGTTTGCAGCAATCCCTCTCAGCTCTGGACTTCAGTCACTGTCCCCTGATGTAAAAGTGTAAAGCTTCCCTCACCAGGTTAGCAAGGCTGGTTGCAAAAACATTCTTCTCTTAATCCCAGTATAAATAACTGTAGTACATTTACACCGAAACTGAGAAGCTGGAACCATCAGAAGACAAGATTTTTTTGGATCAGTCTTCTGAGAAATGCACTGGGGAGAAGCCTCATGGGTATTTTTGAAGAAGAGCTTGATACCTTTGCAGTGAATATACATGACACAGAGAACTAGGGGTCCCTTCCCTTCCAGCCACATGTTCTCTGATGTTACCCAAAACATTAGAAGGCCTGCTGTTTTGTGCTATCTTGTTTAATCTTGAAGCAATGTAGCCATTTACTGAAAACTGGCACAGTAATTTAGGATCCTTAGTGCCGTTCTGCTGCTCTAGGTTTTTTTCTCTTTTTAAAATACACATTTCCAGACCTATGAATTTGGAATATAATTTTAAAATTGAGGCTTAATGTGTTCTTTTATGTGGTCTCTTGCAGGAAATGGCCCCTTTCCGGGAATTATTGACTTGTATGGAACTGGAGGAGGACTCCCTGAGTACAGGGCATGCCTGCTGGCCAACTATGGCTTTGCTGTGCTGGCTCTGGCTTTCTACAACCATGAAGATCTCCCGAAAGACATGAAGGAATTCCACCTGGAATATTTTGAAGAAGCCGTAAACTATATGTTACAACACACACAGGTTGGTTTGTTCATTGACCCCCTCTCACTAGAGGGAACTCTCGTTAGTCAGATCCTGTCAGACTGCATATAGGGCAGAGCTGCTGTACTTAAAAATAGCATCTCCATTCAAGTTGGCTGTAATGAATTTGGTTTATACCTTTAACTCCCGTTACAGTGGTTCTCTGGCAGATTATTCCAGTTCTTCCTTTTGAACTGGCCAGGTGACATAGTGACACATAGGTCATATGCTGGTAATTTCTGCTCCATTCAGCCCAGTGTCATAACTAGGGTACTGGTTGCCTGGAGGCTTATTGGACTTCCAGCGGGACTTTTAGGTTTATGCTCTGTAGAATGTCCTTCAGAACTAAATGCCCTTTTCAGCTGTGGAGCACATGATAGCCTTCTGTGATCCAGGTCTCAAGGAAGTCCACTAGTATACGTTTGCTGCTGTGTATTGTATAAGGTGTTAAAATCACACAAGGCAACACTTGGTTTCTCTGGAGAACACACAATAAATACTTTCCTCAGCCTCAGAAGGATGAGTAGTTGTTAAAGGTCTTGGTTGCTTTCAGTCGCCCTAACCCTAACTGCTCATGCCACCTCTCTCCCTAAAACACTGACAGTTGGTTCCCCCCTGCCTTTTTTTCCCCTGAGAGCAGTACAATAGTCTCCCATTAGCACTTCGACTGATGCCCTCACCACATTTTCAACATGTTACAAAGTTGCAGCCGTATTTTCTAATTTCCCCCTTTCCATGCTTCAAAGTCAGTGGGTTTGGAGCTTATTACACTGGTGATAAGGTACAAGAGGTATTAAATTTTGATGCTGTCTCAGAGCCTTAGGGTCTTTGGGTATTGGAGCGGTTGTGATATTAGCTAATATCCTTCTTCCAATATGCCCAGAGGATTTCAGTGCCCTGTAAGATCATTTGACTTTCCTATTGCGGTTAATTTGGCTGTGTAAAAGAAAATTAAGGTAACCTATTCTAGATTGACTCCAGAGGAGTGTACAATTTGCTTAGAAAAATGGGTTTAATACATTATTTTTTAAGATACATTCTAATGATTAAGCTTCCTCAGAATATTTCCTTCCACTCTTGGACACCAGGCATACTACAGAAATGGGAGAGCAGCTGATGTGCAGTCTGCTACCCCGTGTTAGCTTCTTAGCAGTATCATAGTCATTGCTGACGTTGAGCATTTTGCACTGAAAGAAAGCATTTGTAGAAAAGGCCTCCCCTGCCCCTTCCCTCTTCTTCCCTCAACTGCCTTACAAGCAAAGTGAATCTGGGGCTGGACATCTGTATGCTTTTTGCAAGCACAGCTGTACCCTCTGCATATGCTTCAGCACTGAGCCTTGTAGCTTTGTTAGGATGATGCTGCAGCCTCAGCAGAGCTTATGATTATAAATCAAGCATGGAGCAGTGCCCCAGGGTCCCTCAGGCACATGCCCTGCACACAGGACCTTAGATGCCTATACCTGGGGTCCCAATTCAGCACAGACAGTGCTGCAAACATGGCAGCATTTTAAAGAAGTGGCGTGCTGTGGTTCATTGGTTGTGTTTTCTCTTCTCTCCCCTTCAGGTTAAAGGTCCAGGGGTTGGGTTGCTTGGAATCTCGAAGGGAGGTGACCTGTGCGTCTCTATGGCCTCCTTCCTCAAGGGCATCACAGCCACTGCCCTTATCAATGGCTCGGTGGCAAATGTGGGCGCAGTGCTGCGCTACAAGGATGTCACCATTCCACCCCTTGGTCTCAATGCACAACGCATCAAGGTCGACAAGTCCGGCATTGCTAATATTATCGATGCACTGAACAACCCTCTAGAAGGGCCTGACCGCCAAAGCTTAATCCCTTTGGAGAAGGCCGAGTGTCGCTTCTTGTTCATTGTTGGCCAGAATGATGGCAACTGGAAAAGTGAATTCTTTGCAGTTGAGGGGAGCAAACGTTTGCAAGCTCATGGGAAGGAGAAACCTGAGATAGTCTGTTATCCTGGAGCAGGGCACTACATTGAACCCCCCTTTTTCCCGATGTGTGCAGCCTCAATGCACCTGCTAGTTGGCAGGCCTGTGATGTGGGGAGGGGAGCCCAAGGCACACTGCAAGGCACAGATAGATGCTTGGCAGCAGATCCAAGCTTTCTTCTGCAAACACCTGATGGGCAAGCCATCTGGAACATCCAGTAAGCTATGATGTGAGTTAGGTTGCATTACAGATGAAGACGGTGATGTTTCAAGTTTGTTTTGTTAAATGGCTCTGAATGAGAACAAAGAATATGAAAGAATAAGCTGTTGGGTTTCTTGGAGGATGACAGTGGGCATGAGAGCAGCTTCCTTTTAACCGTCCTCTAACCTCAGTTAGAAGTCTTGGCCTCCTGTGTGCAGTGTGGGATTACAAGCTGTGGAAAAATGGTGCTGGTAAGGCTGAGTCTGCTTTGAATGTGAATTTAAGTGGAAAGTAACTCATCCAAGCTGAGAGCTGGGGTGAAAATTTGCCTTGGCTTTCTCAGAGGAAACGTGTTTTATGCCATTGCCCTTTCCAGAGCCAGCTTTGTGCTCTAGTTTTTGTGGAAGGAGCTGTTCTCGCTTCCTGCCTCCAGTAACCTTTCTGTTCCCCCTGTGCATGTCTCTCTCCCTTGTTTCTCCTTCCTCTTCTCCCATATCAGCAAAATGTGTCTGCCTTAACACTTAATATCTAATATTTCACTTACCAAAAGCAGCAATACTGTGCCTGCATCCTCAGATAATGCAGCTCCTGTTTATAGACAGGAACAGCTTATAGCCTCATGTGACGTTCTGAGCACATGCAATGGAAATGAGACACTTGTACAGGTTTGGAAAGTTCGTAAGCGTGAATTAAAAACAATTGGACCTGTCGGTAGTCATGCCTAGAACTGCTCCTGGGCGTCTCCTCGGCAGGGCTGGATATCCGTGTGTAGGTCCACAGCGCTGTTGGAGGGCAGTTTCTCCCTGCCTGAACGTTCCCTTAACGCCTCCACAGCTGTCTGCTTGTAAGCGCTGCTAAAACCAGCAAGGTGCGAAGCTCCAGCTCCTTGGGACACCTTTGCCTTGCACTGGGTGCTGTGCGGGACGGTTGTAGGAGCTGCCGCCGTGCGTGGGGAGGCGGGGCGGGGGGGGCATGGGCTCCAGCTCTGGGTGTCTCCGGGGGCGGCGGGGCGCGCTCTCGCCCCCTGCCTGGGGATCGTCAGTAATGTTTGGCACGCGAGGACGAGTTTGGAAGAAAATGCACTGAATATTGCTCGCGGGGCGCTGGCGAGCTTGCACCGGTATACGAAAACAAATTTTTAACACGTCCATGTCTTACAAACCCATGCCGATGAGTTGCTGTTCGTGCTTTATGCGGGCTCTGTCGGTGTGTTTATGCGTTTTGCATTCGCTGTACTTTGTAAAATAGATTAAAAAAGAAGCGTTAGCCTCTCCCGACGGCCCGCT